AGACATTTGAGATACTAAAACCATAACAGCCTCTTTTAAGGGAAAAAGTATTTTGTGGTTGGAGTTCTCTTTGTCTGTCTGGAGCATTCTCATGTATATGAAAACATCTAGCGCTAAAGCAAACCTACTGTTGGAATGATGAAGGTCCTGTAGAATCTGCCAGTACGAAGCATGAATTTTATGACAACATCTGCAAGGTATGTTTTGAACTCTTGCTTCATGGGACAGTGGATGTGGTGCTCAGTGCCCTGAAAAGCTCTTTCCTGGAAGACCCATGGTAGAACACAGATGTGAGCTTTACAGGAGTCTGACTTCCCAGCAACAGTGCTGACTGCAGACACCAGAGGTGACAACAAAAGCTATAGAGAGAAGGCTCTTCTAGGCACCAAAACTGTTGTATCGCAGCGTTTTGGTTGACTGGGTAGACTACGGCTTATCAATAACATATCTCAACTTTAAGGTGTAGGAAGCAAATGCAAAAGGAAGCTTTGAGTAACTATACTACTGATTGCTAAAATGATTGCTCTGTTTGCGTGCCTGTGCGTCGTTCAGGTGAGAAGTCTGCTGTCTGTCAGGCAGGTTCAGGAGGGAATTCTCCCGCCATCAAATTAATTTTCCTTGGCTGTTTTATATAAGCTTGCACGTGCACGAGCTTCCCGCCAGGAATCTTCTCCAACTCCACTCAGTAGTTTTCCACTTGAGTAGCCAACTAAATTCTAGTGTGACAATATCACAGTTTACATACTTACAGCAAAGTCATACACTTAAATGATAACTATTTTGAATTATGCGTATCTATATATAAAACATATGATGATTTTATAAACTGCTAGCTTACACTCGGAATGCAAGTTAGAAGAGCCCTGCCACTTAAGTTACAGAAGTAGTCCTATGGCATGACTTCTCCAGCAAGAGAAAAAGCAGGTTGTGCTTATGTTGATGGTTCCTACCATTATACAATCTGTGGGAATTGCTCGTGTTTCACTTGAAAGTTATCCCTTTCCTGTTTACTTGGAAGAGCACTAAAAGCTTTTTAGAAATTCTTCCATTTTTCTTGGCATGGGGCTACTAATTCTTGTATAGATTTTTATCATGGCCTCTTTTTCTAAAGATAGATAGTTTGGTCACTAAAGAGTAGTTCAATAAAAAAAAAAATCAAAGTGGTTTGACTGAAGAAGGATCTCGAAACATAATGTTCTTGGTGTTTTACGTGTCCTTTTTACCCTTCCATAAAAGCTACATCCCTAGCTCCATCCTGAAATCATTGAGATTTGTGTCTTTTGCAGAGTAAGCCATTTTCAATGTAAATATTTGGATTTAGGGTTTTATTTATAATACTTAGATGTTAGGAAGATAGCCCTTTTCAATCAGTGAAAATAAAGCCTTCTCAAGGAAGCATTTCTGACTCATACATGGCAAGATAAGACTCCCTAACTGTAGACATGTAAAAGAGGTTGGGTAAAAAAAACCTCTTTTCCTTTCTTTTACTGGTCTGTAAAATCAAACCAGAATGCAGGCCATAATCTGATTTAAGTTATTACGTGCAAAATTGATCTTGAAAGTACTGAAGTCAAAGTAATGCTGGTAGTAAAAATCACTGTGTTTTTAAATAATCTTAGAACGTTTTTATGTCAGTTGGTTAACTGTGGCTTGAAAGCATAAAAAAATACCTACCTTTCCGATTTAGAAATGTGCAGTTTTTACAGTTGAAGGAAAAATATTTGTAAACAGGTTTTAATTCTCTGTAGAAGTCATTTTTCAATAATCATTTTGAATGGATTGTTTCCAGGACTTTTTTTGTTAAAATTTGTGTACACCACAGAGAAGTGCTGCTGTAGACTGGAAACAAATTGGTGGCCACAAGGAGAGAGAGATGGTGAGCTGCGCAAGCTCCCCAGTGTCCCCAGATACATGCTCCTATTGCTGGTCACTGCTGTACTGGTGTTGCCTTGTTTCTGCTTATAGTCTCCATTAAAACAAGTTGGTTGTCTCAATGGATGTTGGAATATTGGAAGAGTCTTGTAATCGTGTCCATTTTACTTACATCTATCTATTTAAGGTTGTGTTTTCATGTAAGATATGATGGTGCCTGTAATGCTGGTAACAGAACTCTTGCTGGCCTTCATCCCTTGTGTTTATTTAAACCAACTGAACGATTTATGGCAAAACCTTCCCCACGTGTCTCAAGGGTTTACTGATGGATGAGCTCCATTGAGCATGTCCCAGCTCGTAATTCTCAAATCACAACACAGTTCATAACAGAAACTTCTGTTCTCAACATAGAACCCTCTTCCAGTGATACGACATCACATCCTTTCAGATGTTGGTGATTGCTACAGATCAGTGATGTTGGTTAAGCTGTAGCTTCTAACTTTGTTTCCAACAGCCTCACTGCACTGACTTGGCAGCACGCAGTAGCAACCTCTGATGCATAACTGCCGCTCACCAGGATGAGCAAAATGGGATGAGTATTTACACATGCCATTTTTTCCATGTCCTGCAGAAAAATTATTCACCCTAAATGAATCACAACTTGCGTAACATTTAGTTTATTTGCCTGAACTACATGTTTCCCCTTTCCCATAATTTTTTTTTTTTTTCAATCAGACCCAGCCCTCTACCTCCCCCTGCCCTCCCCACCCCACCCCCCCCGCCCCCAATATTCCAGTTCAAGCATTGCTAAGCATTCATATCCTGGAGCAGGTGGGGCACCAGTTAAATCCACGGTGCCTGAACCTGCTTGAGAAGACTGTTGAACTCTGTGAAGTTAAAGAGAATGTTAAAAACACAGGAAGAAGAGGTTTTCCCTGCGCTTTTATTTGGATTACTGGCTTGCTGACCTGCACCTCTGAGTAGGATAGTGCTCATTAAGAGAAGCTGGATGGTGCAAATAAATGTTGGGGTCTGGAGGAATGGTGCTAACCACCATGACTTCTTGAACAAGAGCTTTAAACTTAATATGCCCCCCCACACACACACTAAGTATGTCGCAGCTGAACCTTCTGTCTCAGCCAAGACATCACCAAGCAGTTGGAAAAGCTAAGCAAGAGGTAGGGGTTTGAACCATAATGTGAACGAGGTGCCATCTCTGCAAACACAGCCCTTTCCTAGAGGTCTAAAAACTGCCAGAAATTGACTCAACGGTTACCTGGTAAGTGCCCGTGTGCAGAATCGGCCTCCTGTACAGACCTTCAGCTGTCTGTACCAAGGAAAGATGGTTAAACCATGATTCCGTCGCCATCACCTGTGGGCAGGGTGTTCAGGGGTGCATTTGGTCTGAAAACACAGGTCGGGTGGGTTCAGAAGAAGCAAATCTCTTCCAGTAACTCTGTACTCATCAAGGCAGCTGTTGCCATTAGCCTGTTCGTGAGTCAAATCACATAGGCTTTGGCTTCAGACCTGGATTTTGAATTCTGATAATGAAATCGGTTATTTATGGTAAAAAATAGCTAATTTTCCTGTAATACAATCTCTGTATCACCGCAGAGAGTAGAACATTCTTGCGACAATCTGATTTCTCTCGTGGAAGAAGTCAGCATTGTTAGTCGAGATTTGATGGTACTTTAAGTGGCAGAAGATTAGACTTCCAGATTTGCAGCATAGGCTGTCTGGGGCAGGAATTGGTATAATCCTGCTTGGTAATGGGTGCCTCAGTGTGCTCAACAGGGAGCACAAGGTACAGGTTGATCTTGCCAGCAAAAGTCAAATACTACTCACACTCTTAGTATATGGTTTTGAATAATAAATGGTTTACCTTCCTAGAGTGAATGCGCTGAGTTTTTCAGTCTTGGCATCGTTTGGACTGCAAGAAATTGATTGTTTTGTTTTTAATGCTTTGCGTTAAACGCGTCAAAGTGGTTACCTGACCTGTGCTGATGAACTGAGAAGGGAGACAGATTTCCAAGGTCCCAGTGTAGCTGCTCTGCTGGGCCTGTCTGCCATCTGCAGGCCATTGCTCTCCACACCAGAGAGGTGTAAAGCAGGGCTTTGGGAGTTTCTTTCCTTCTCCAGAAATTACTATTTGTAACAAGTTGTTTGGTGTTGGTTGGTTGGCTGTTTTTTCCCCCTGGGTAAATATTGCATAATAAATCCAATTTGTTTCCATCTTGTCTTGCGAATAGTCACCTCAGTTAAAAAAAAAAAAAAAAAAAACAAAACGAGGACAGTAGAGATAATAAGTCATCTTAGATTTCTCTAGAGGTTAATCAATAATTGTTTTTTTCTTTTGTTGTCCACTGTTCAATTTTATAAGTAAACATTTTTTGTGCTTAGAAATGGGGCATTTCATACACCAGTCAAATTCTGTCCATCATTCTCAGTCCATTAAATTTTTATTAACTCTTTATGGTGCTGTTCTTAAATGAACTGCACCAATGTAATGTTCAACTCCTGTTGAATGTTAAAAGTTTTGTTGGGAAGGGGATATGTGTATACAACCACCAGGTAGCTTTCCAAACATCCCAAAGATCTTTGATTTTATAGTCCACAAATGCATAGAGGATGCAACAAAATTATTTGGCTTTTGCACAGCAGACCACGGCTGCTGCTTTTTCATAGAGGTCATCCCCACCAAAAAAAAATTTGAGCAGACCACGGCTGCTGCTTTTTCATAGAGGTCATCCCCTGTCAAAAAAAAATTTGGCACGCTCAGCAAAATGCAGAAGTGTGATATTTTTGAACAGTAGGAGCTAATTTAGACTAGTGATTCCACTGTTAGATATCTCTCTTCTTTTTAACTCTATTTCAACAGCTTAAATATATCTGTTGTTACCTCCTTATTGCCCAGGTATATGAAAGATATGTGATCTGTGTTTTCCTTACCTGTTTTTTTTAACCGTTGATAAGAAACCTTAACTGAGTTGTTCATTTAGAACAGAATTTACTGTAGGTAAATTACTGATCGATTTACAGTTTTCAAAGGTATAACAAAATTTCGTGTATAAAGTGAAACTTTTGGTGTGTACCACATAACCTTTACATCATTTTTGTCTTTGTTTTAGGTCTTCCTGAACAATACTACAGCCTCACTTGGTTCCTTAGCCCTATCCTGGGCTTGATCTTCACTCCACTTATAGGTTCGGCTAGTGACCGCTGCACGCTGAGCTGGGGCCGCCGGCGGCCTTTTATTCTTGCTCTCTGCATTGGTGTCCTCTTTGGAGTTGCACTTTTCCTTAATGGGTCTGTTATAGGTAAATAATGAGGAAATCACCTGTGTATACCTCTTGCTAATATACCTGCTTTAAGAGTTTTATGTAGGAAGTAAAGGTAATAATAGGCACTTGATTTCACTTAGTTTTAGTGTTAAAATCATTAGAAACCTCGGCAGCACAGCATTTGAGCTATCCATCTTGCATGGTTTTATTCTTTATTCAAAAGTTACAGCGCTGTGCTAAGTATTGTGCAATCATAGCTGTAACTGGTAGTACAGTGTTATTAATACAATGGTTGCCAGCATAATGTTTGCAGTCACTGAGATGAATTTGGACAATCCTTGACATGGGAAAATTGTAGCAACCTGTTCACAGGGAAATGTTTCCTGTTGTGATCCATTTTCCCTTTAATGCATATCTGGCAACACATCCTGTTTCCAGCATTATTTCAAAAATTATCTTTTCACTTTTTCTTGTGCTTTTCTTAGACCTGGTATTGAAAAAGTCCAGAACACAGTTAATATTTGTTTATCAAAAACTATGTGGGAAAATAATTTTTCCTGAGCCCCCATCAAAGCTGGTAAAAATAGTTTCCCTTGAACATAGTTTACTACAGACCTTAATCTACAATCTACAATCTCTTTGTAAATTTAGTGTAGGAGAGGTGACAGCAAGTACATTTGGGGAAATGTTTACATCATGGTTGGACTGATGCAAATGAAAGGAACTTAGCACCTAATAATATCCTCTTGGCTCTCTTTTTTTTGGGGGGGTTAGATGCAGCTCTATTGTGAAAAAGTTTTACTAATTGAGGGAAATGAGTGGAACATTACCTTGGCTCAGCATGTTAGCTTTTTATAGCCAGATTGGGATGCCATATGATGGTTTTCAGTTTTCTGCAAACTGCAGTAGACAAACTGTTCAGATTAATAACATTTTGTTTGTGCTTTTTTAGTTTATCCAAGCAATAAATATTAATTATTTGAATTGTTATCATATAGTATCAATTGTACTTTGTTGTTGTGTCTCCAAGACTTATTCCTCCTCCTCCAGATGTATGCAAGAAGTTAGACTGCAGCCCTCTTACAGGATTTTAATTGATAGGTGGCTCTTACTTTCACACAGCAGTTTAGGTCAGTAGCCATTCATACCCGCAAGCAAACCTCACACACAGTTTATAGGCTTATTTTGAAGCATCTCACCTGCTAATAAATCAGCACAAAATATTGTCTTCAATTTGTCGCCAATTCTTTGTTGCACAGCAACACAGTGTTGCATAGCTTTCTAGAGAACCTGTGCTTTCCAGATACTCCAGCGGTCCTTTTGTGCAGTGAAACTTGTTTAAAACACAGAGGTTGTAGCATTGCACCATGAAAATGAGCTGTGTGTTTTATGCATCTGTTCTTCTGGTAGATTTTGAATGAAAACCCTCTTTTGAAAAGCGCTTTAAACACTGCTGTGCCTCTGTCAAGGGAGCCTGGAGCAAACTGAAGTGCGAGCTCTTCCATGGTCTTCTCTAGACTTGTTCCTTGCTAGAAGATAGAGATTTGCCACTAACATGCAATTTACATCAGCCTAAGACAGCACTTGAGCTATTATTTAAAGCAGATGCACAGTATGATAAAGCAATATTAGTTTTTCTTTAACTGAAGTTTTTGAAATGGTGGCTTGTGTCACTTTTCAGGGAGAAAAGGCATTGCTCACCAGTCTCCTGCAAAAGGGCGTGTCTAGCAGTTTGCAGGAAAAGGCCTCGTTTGTAACCAGATTTTCTCCTAGGTGGATCTTGTATGCTTTTATTGTCCGTCATCTTCCCATTTTATGTTTGTACTTCCCTGTCCTTAGGCTCCAGTTACTTGCGATCCTAATTTCAATTTGGGGCTACAGGAAACGCTGCAAAAACTGAGGTGATCACTGTGTGATCACCTTTTTCATAACCTGGCTTCTGGCGATAGGACCTATAGGGAGGGGAACCAGGTGCACAAGAGGTTCACTGATCCTAACAGTAATATAACCATGTCCTGGGAGAATAGCTGTGTGTAGATTTTATTCAACTCTGGTTCTCTCCAGTGTATGCACTGTTCAGGTTTCCAATAAATCTCAAGTGCTGACACCGTTGGTGTTTTCTGCTGTAAGATTCAGCTGAGCATCAACGTGTATAAACTTCTTTAGCATTCAGAGGACTTGGTATAAATGAGGATTGCATATGCAGGAATTGTAGCACTTGAGATTTAGATGATTTTTGGTGGTTTAGCCAGTTCATCTCTTTCCACGGTTGTTTTCATCAGTTTCGCTAATGGTTTTATCAGAGTCTTGCATGCGTAACTTCTAAATTTCCCTGATTCAAGTAATTCATGCTTTTGTCAGTGTTTCATTTCATGACAAATTTTCCAGCTATATACTAATGCTGCCTTTCTACTCTGTAGACAAAAAGCATTTCATCCCGTGCTATGAACAGAAGCTGACTGATGCTTTTTGCAGCGCAAAATACCTTCGTGTTGCTTCATCCATAAAAATTTCGCTTATAGAAGGTATCTAGAAATTACAAATGATTAAGAAAAGCAAAGAAAGAAGTGAAGGAGTTAAATTTCACTTTATCCAGGTGTGCTGCGACCATCGCATGTTAGGCAGGAGGTCAGGAGTGCTGTCAGCAGCGCGGTTACCCGCGTTTGTAACTGACAGATGAAGTATGTCATTTTGCTTTTGGATGCCATCCTCTCTCACCGTGGCTGTCTTTTCTAAAAACAGCCTTCAGCATTTGAGGGAAAATACATGCAAGAAACATGAAATAATATCCAGTATTCTCAAAGGTTTAAAAGATACTTTAAAAATAACATTGTGAAAAATAAACGTCAGCCTTGCAAACATCAAAGCATAATGTTTGTCCCAGACCACCCGCGAAGCTGTGCCAGGGTTGAAGTTGGCATTTTATTCTGTAAAGGAATGTTTCCAGTAAGTGTGCTGACTAGCTTGCTCTTGAGGAGCTTGACCTTGCTCTTAGCAGTTTGCCCTTCTCGACTGATGTGCTCAGATTCCTCTTCCATTTTTCCTCAGGTCTGGCTATCGGCGATGTCCCGGACAAGCAGCCCATCGGCATAGTTCTCACAGTGCTTGGTGTTGTGGTGTTGGACTTCTGCGCTGATGCAACAGAAGGGCCAATTCGGGCCTACTTGTTGGATGTGGTTGACAGCGAAGAGCAAGACATGGCCCTTAACATCCATGCCTTTTCAGCTGGTAGGGAGTTAGTCGATACGGTTTTGGCAGCTGTCAGGTCTTCCCGATGACCCAAGTTGTGATTGAATTGAGTTTTCCTGAACTCACTTCTCATTTTTTCTCTTCCGCAGGTCTTGGAGGAGCAATAGGTTATATGTTAGGAGGGCTGGACTGGACGCAGACCTTCTTGGGTGATATTTTTAAATCTCAAGAGCAAGTCCTTTTCTTCTTTGCAGCTATTATTTTCTCTGTCTCCGTCGCTCTCCATCTTTTTAGCATCGAAGAAGAGCAATATAACCCTCAGCAGGACAGGATTGATGAGGAAGGAGACACACTTTCCAGTGTCAAATTGAGTGGTAGTCTCCCCCCTCTGAATCGACTGAATGTCATTAGTGAGGAAGAGCCGTATGGAGCCTCTCTGTTCCACGACGAGGTTCAGTCAGAGCATGATCTCAGTATGGAGTTCCTCGAGGTCAACATTGTAAGAAGTAAAAGCGACTCGGTTCTGCACATGCCTGATGCTACCTTGGAAATTGAATCGGAGCTGCTTTTCCTGCATGACATCGAACCCTCCATTTTTCAGGATGCTTCATATCCAAATACTCCCCACAACACAAGCCAGGAGATCATGAAGTCCAAACTTAACCACCTGTCCGCTTTCCTCAGGGACAATGAGAAAGAGGAGGAAATGTTGCTCGATAATCGCTTAAACGAAGATAAAGTCCCAAACGTGAATGGCTCGCTACCGAAAGAGTTCCTCAATGGCCACGCTAGGATAGGCATGAAGCAATCGAGTACTTCAAACTCCATGCGAAGGCGGAGGCACATGTTCTACCGACAGCCCTCTTACACCTTCTCCTACTACGGCAAAATAGGCTCGCACCGTTACCGTTTTCGTCGGGCCAACGCCATCATCTTGATAAAGTCCTCGCGCAGCATGAACGATATCTACGACATGCAGAAGCGTCAGCGACAGAGGTACAGACACAGGAATCAGAGCGGCGCGACAAATTCCAGCGGAGACACGGAGAGCGAAGAGGGGGAAACCGAAACCACTGTCAGGCTCTTGTGGTTGTCGATGCTAAAGATGCCAAAGGAGCTGCTGCGACTGTGCGCCTGTCACCTCTTAACTTGGTTTTCGATCATTGCTGAAGCCGTGTTCTATACAGATTTCATGGGACAGGTCATCTTCCAGGGCGATCCAAAGGTAAGAGAGCAGTTCCCCTTGGCAGACCTGCTTCTAGCGACTCGTTTCTGGGATGTGCTTGTCACAAGCAAACTGCTTTGCATTTGTGTTTGTCGCAGGCCCCCTCGAACTCAACTGAGTTACATGCCTATAATGCTGGCGTTCAGATGGGGTGCTGGGGACTGGTAATTTATGCTGCTACTGCTGCCGTTTGCTCAGGTAAGAGACTGCACAATCAGACAGTGGAATGCCCTTCACAGATGTATTTTGCAAGGTAAAAATGGTTTTGCTTCAGTTAACATCTGCCTCCTTGTTTGGGGTGAAGGATATTTTGGAAAAGTGTCTCGCATGGTCATGGGAGGAGGAGCTTCTTTAAGAAACAAAATTAAGAAAAAATCCTTTAAGTGGTGGAAATACTAACAGGTCGGTTAAGTGGCACAAAGCACAAAATTATAACAAAGGATATTGAATGGCATTTAGCTGGTCATCAGGAAACTAAAATGCTTGTTATAAGATTCAAGCATATGTAAGAGGGTTTTTGCAAAGGCTGGTTTTAAAATCAAAATTATGAATATATATTTCCGAAAGCCTTTCTTGCTCTCTAATAACAGATAAACCAACTACAGATAACTTGGGCTTGGAATACACACTCTGAAACTGAGAGCTTTTGCCAACCTGAAATTCTGCCTTTTGCAGCACATGTGCAGGCACGTCTCCGCAGCTCACGATCGCGGGGACTGCCTCTTTGCTGAGATGTGTCAAAAGCTGAAGCTCAGGTGGGCAGGTTGTTTCTGAGCGCAAACTGAGATGCGGCTATAAACATCAATTATCTGATCGCTTTGTTTAGCAAACGTGCTTGCGCTAGAAACGGAATCTCCTCTGGGCTCAGAGCGTACCTGCGTGGATGAAGTTATTCAACAGGTAAAATTAAAGAATGGACTGAGTGGACCACGATATGTTTGAGTCTTAAAGCATTCTGTTCTGCCTGGGACTTGCAGCACGCTTTAGGCGAGTCTCTGAGCTCACTTGTTGCCCCGGTTTCTGAAGTAGCGATACATCCTTTTCCCAGTGAGGGCTGAGCTGTGCTGCTAGGACAAGCCAAACACGCAGTGAGAGTCCCAGCCCTAAACAGCCTATCGAGCTGTCGCGGCCACGTCAAAAACCTCACCAGGTAAACTGATATTTATGTTTTATTCTTGATCTCTGCAGCCTTGTTGCAGAAATACTTGGACAACTATGACCTTAGTATAAAAGTGATCTACATCCTGGGCACGCTGGGTTTTTCTCTTGGCACTGCAGTGATGGCTATGTTCCCCAACGTGTACGTCACCATGATCATGATCAGCACTATGGGAATAGTCTCTATGAGTATCTCCTACTGCCCCTATGCGCTTTTGGGACAATACCATGATATAAAACAGGTATGTGGAATATTTCAAATCTTTTAATCAAGGCAGAGAGCGTTCACGTTTCTCTGAGGTGGCAAAATGGATTTATTAAATCCCATTATTTGAGATACCAGCTTTGTTGGGACGTGTGCCAAAGCACAGATTAGTCCTTGGTAGTAAATAGCGAGAGCTGCCACTTCAATCAGGTGGCATTAGCATCAGGTTGGCTCAGCGGGGTCGTGATTGCTTTACCCCGTGCTGAGGTATGAAAGGATTTGGGTGCATATGGTAGATGAATAAATTATTGGAGCATTTATTATACGCTTAGTTGTTACTATTCTTTCTGACACATTATGTTAGCATTGCTCAGGTTCTTCACAGTTTTCGATAGTGAGCTGAGTCTGGAAATGCAGCTGTAGGCCTGGGGAGACACAAGGCAAACTGATTCTGCTGGGAACGAGGTCAGGTTTACTTGCCATTTTTTAGCGCCGTTCCATCTGGATTGCAAATTGGAGGAGGATCATTTATTTTAACATGTTTCTGCGTTGGGATTGGGAGGGGGATTCCTTTCTATAATTGTAAAAATAATTTCCACCAAGTGTCTCATCTAAATTTTTTTCTTACAAAACCTCATCTCGGAGCCAAGTTCACACTAGGAGTGCCCCAGTTAGTATCTGCATCTTGGCTGCAAGATGAGGAGGCCGTTGATGAGTAGATAAGGAGTCTGTTGCTCTGGGCATGTACAGCCTGTGGGATGCACAAGGATGGCATAAAGTTGACCATGTGGCTGAGAAATTTGAGGAAGATACTAGCGTTCAAATATTTGATTTCATCTCTCGTTTTACCTCCTGACACGTGCTTCTTGTCTTTTTCCAGTACATTCACCACAGCCCGGGGAGCTCAAAGCGAGGATTTGGCATAGACTGTGCTATTCTGTCATGTCAGGTTTACATCTCGCAGATCCTGGTGGCCTCTGCGCTCGGCGGCGTGGTGGATGTGGTTGGCACGGTCAGAGTCATTCCTGTGGTGGCTTCAGTGGGATCCTTCCTGGGCTTTTTGACAGCCACCTTCTTGGTGATTTACCCCGAAGTCAACGAAGAGCCAAAGGAAGACCAGAAAGGACCAGGTCCTCCAGAGACAGCTGAGGGCAACGGCACGAGCGCAGAGAAGCCAACTGTGCTGAAGCTCACGCGCAAAGGAGCTGCTGCGTCGGAGCTGGAGAGCGAGTCAGCCGTTTGAGGCCACCGCTTCCTACTCACCCACATTCCAGGGAGTGCAGGTGCAGGATCAAGAACTTGTTGTTTTGGTTTGGTTTGTTGTTTTTTTTTTGTTTTGTTTTTTTTTTTTCTTTCCCAGGAAAACAAATTAGGATCTTCACTACTTGTAGCTAAAATTGCAGAAGAAAAGGCAGTTTCGTGCAAAAATGTAAATTAAATTCTGTAGTCCTTAATATAGGTTTGAACAGGTAGCTATGATGCTAATTGCTTTCTCTACAACTTAGAAACATCATTTCTGAACACTTTTTTATTAAGAATACATTTAGATTTCAAATAAGTTTTATTAATCTGCATGAGACTCACAGTGTATGCAATTAGCAGTTAGAAAAATTAAGTTTTCGGCTGTTTTTAAACTAACTGAAAATGGAAGCTCTCTCGACTTATAGTCTCTTGCTATTTTTTTGTCTGAACATTTCAGATTTCACTAGTGTAATAGCTGAATCAAATGCTTAGACATGTTGATCAATTTTATTTCATGAGCATGATATTACTGGTCTAACAGCTACAGTTCTTCAATGTTAATTTTAGACTTCATGTTTTTGTTAGTGCAATTACTACAGAATAGTTTTATTTACAGTTACTTTCAAGAAAAACAAAAGCAATTACTGCAGTTTCTAAGAAACTGCTGGGAATCTTTTTAGTCATACTGTTCAACAACTACTCCCAAGTCTGCTGCTTGTCAGGAGAGGGTGACGTTAAGCGCAGGATGTGAACTGCAGGTGGAAGGAGCAGCAACTGGGAGAGGTGACCAGCACTGACAGGTTTTTATCACAAGTGCTGAATTTGATGAATGTCGTTGGAATACGCTGTGACAATTTTTAGCTGGGAATTTTGCATGCTGGTGAACTCGGGGGGGGGGGTTTGGTGGCGTTTAAACCTGATCATCTCTGGATGAAGCTGCCCTGGAGAAAGGGCATCTCTGGGGTCAGTTTCGCGGGAGGGGGGCGTGCAGATTCTCTTCCGTAGGGAAAGGAAGTCATTGATTAATTGCACTTTTTATGGTCCTTTCACCTCCTGGCTGTGAACGCAGCGGCCAAGGTGAAGGCATGGTGTCAGTACAACAAGGTAAACCGAAGGCCTACCTCCATCATTTTGTGGCATAGTCTGGGTGTATAAAAATCCGTGTCAGAAACAGTTTTTTAGGCCTTAAAACTCAATCCATTAGCGTGTGTTGCTGTTCCAGTCCCTGTGTTGGAGGAATTGTAGGCTGGAGCTCTGCCGAGCTGCTGTACCGATGTCGTCAGCGCAACCTCCACGCCCCCTTCCTTGATTCAGGACATAGCTGTAGTGCAAAGACATTTTTCTGTGAAGAGCTTGAAAGAGTTGTGCTAATCTGACTTAAACTAGTGTTTGGATCGCTAGCAGCGTGCCCCAGTCCAGGGGCAGCCAAAGCTCAGAGATCCAGCAGCCATCTAAAGCAACTTCAGAAACCGAACTTCCGTTCGTCGTCTTATAAGAAGTGTTTGTGATGCTTATTTACTCATTTTCGCATGGACCTCCAGGCTGCAGTCGATCCGTGTGCTAAACAGACAAATCACAGCTCGTTGTAAGATTTCTGCTGCCTCAAACTTCTCATACTACAGTACTTTAAAATGCATGTGTAAATCATGCTGCAATATAGTCGTTCAAAAGAAGAATATATATTTCAAAATGAAAAGCAGTTTTTAATAAATTACTTGAATTGTCAATGTATTTAAGAAATGTATGTTTTGGTGTATTTGGAGTTGACACGCAGTGTTGGCGGGTGCCTGGTGGCACGTGTGGGTTGCTTAGCTGGAAGCTTTCAGTCGGTGTCGATGTCCTGTGCTCTCAAGGGTGACAGTGTTGGTTTCAGGCTGGCGAAATCGCCGGGCACTGAAGTACATATAATTGCACAGGACTGAGGCTGTGGGTTTTTTTTTCAAGTGTCTTGAGAAAGTCTTTTTTTTCTTTAAGGTGAATATTTTTTTTTTTATTTAGAACACGTACTGTGAACTGTGTTCAGACAGGGGAATAATACTACTGAAGAATATGAGACCTTATTGAAGAAATCAGTTGTGAGAAATACTTTTAACTGAACTTCTGCCATGAATTTTATCATCTCAATTACATTTAATATATTCTGGTGATGTTCATATATAACAGAGATGAGTTGTATTTCACTCTATAACTGGCATTCATGTAAAATACACACTGAGTTAGACTTTTTTAAAGTGGCTTTAATATTTTATCTTTGAAGCTCCTTGAAGATTCTGGTTTTGGTTAAACAAACACTGTCAAATACTCCTTACTTTACTCTCTATTTCTGGAAAGGTTCTTCTATGGTTTAAAAATCTGCATCTTCCGGCCGGTGCCAGCCACAATTACCGTTTTGCCCCCGAGTTTCACGGATCGGTGTGGTTTCAAGTCACCGTTACTCCACATTGCACCTTCATGGCCAAGATTTTTTTCAAAGCACCATCGAGCTGACCAAGGTCTGGCTGCAGGGAGGGAGAAGCTGAAGCTCCCTCGCGCTTCACAGCCAACAGAGGGAGCGTGAAACCATTTGGGGGGGTGAGCTCACACTCGTTTATTGAGCTTTCGAAGTCATGGGAAGGGTGAGGAGGGGGAGGAAGGATGTTTCGAACCCGGAGGGTTTCAATCAAAGGCAGGGCAGGTCCAGTTTTGTCCCAGCCAGCATTTGGCACGGCCTCGTTTCTAAGAATTGGACATTCAAATCCATATTTGGGGTTGTTTATGGGGCTGTTTAATTACCATTTGTGATGCATGAATATGCACGGTGCCTTGTAGCAGGAAGCTCTATTTCACTCCCCTGTAAAGCTGAAGGAAATAATCACCCATTGTAAATGCTCTGAAGTATTTGTAGTATTGCCAGAAGAATAAACTTGGGGAAGCCCCAGCCAAAATATCTCCTCCTGTACCTTGGCCAGCTGTGAAACCTCCGCGCTGGCTTCGCTGTGTCCCGACACCTTCCATAGTAATGCTTTTTCTTGAATTTGAGAGAGTTTTCTTCTTAGCCCTGGCACTTCTCAGGGTAGAGTGGGCACTGATTGATTTCTTTATGTGTCCCTTACCTTATCTTTTAGATACAGATTTTTTTTATTTTTTTTTGGGGGGGGGGGGGGGGTGTCATGATTAAAAGCTAAAGTAGTAAGATTTTATGTGTTTATTGCAGAAGTTGTGGGAAGAGAAGAGTTGAAGGGGCTTTATTTTATTCCTGGTGACAATAAGCATAATTTTTTGTTTGTGGTATTACTGTATAGTGAAACTCATCCCATGTGCTCCTCCTCTTTGGACCTTTGCTGCAGTAGGCTTTAAGGTTTAGTGGTTTCGTTCTGTGTTGCTCTGTACTGTAACCTATTTTAACATATTCTGCTGCAGTCCTGGTGACATGTAACACCTCGGACACGAGACATCGTTAATGCTCAGATTCTTGAGTGCTGTAGTCAGTAAGCTGCACGTCTAGAAGTATTTCACATGAGAGCAGAGAAGCTCAAACTTGAACTGCTCGGCAAGGCGTGATGTGGCTTTTGCACCGTTGGGTTATTGCAAGAGTCCAGTCAGATCTGCGCTATTCATGGATGGCAATTTCAGACTCCAGAAGCAATAATTTCTTAGGAATGTGTCTCTTCCTGCTGGTTAGATGACTTTCATAGAGATTTATTACCTAAATAGCCTTTTAATAACGTGAATCTGGTCCTTTGCTAGCGCTGGCAGTAAGCAGTTATGGAAAGATGTGGGTTGTTCATCATCAGAAAGGGAGGAAGCCAGTAAATCCACCGGAGGTTAGTGCTCACTGGAACACACGGTGTCCTTCCCCCTTCCACTTGAAGCCTTTTTCTAGATGATGAAATATTCCCGGCACAGCGGGCTGCAAAGGGGGCAGCTGCAAATTCAGCCTCCAGGTTTTCTTGCCGGTGCCAACGCTGGCCTGCGGTCCCTGGGATGAAACAGGCTTGCGTGAGGTTTCCCACGGAGGCGTGGGGGCGAGGGCTGAGCCTTTCTCATCCCTCTTCCATCTGATCCAAATCCCCTGCTGCCCCCCCCCCCCCAGCACTTGGAACGACAGCGCCAACAACAGTGATTATTGCCGGGTACCTCACCAAAAACCTCCATCCCATCGTTAGAAATGCATCCGGCTTGGGGTGCGCGTGGCCTTCCGCCAGCGTCCACCGGTAAAGGCAGGATTTTCACGGCTCCCAGCGGGGTCTTGTGGCCACGTGGGCCGAGGTCGTGTTTCTGAGTAAAAGTGGAGAAAGTCACAGTTTGTTCCCGGGAGAGCTCCCTCCGCACCAGCCGGGCGCCGCAGGGCTCAGCGTTTGTTCTCGGCGGTCACTCACATTTTCAATAATTTTGCGTGGACCCGGAGCCGGGTTGCGCGACGCTCCGTTGTTCAGTCCCCGAGAGTTTGGGGGTTTTTGAGGTGCGCGTGGGTGTGTCTGTGTACCTGTGTGTATATACATTTCTATACACACTGCTCGGGCCAAAAGATCTTTGGTGGTTGTGTGCTCGTCCTCACTGTACTCAACAGTGTTTTCAACTTGAGTTCTTCCAGGTTTCCCTCATCCTAGTCCGATGCAAGACGAGCTCAGCTATAAATATGTATCCTATTTAAATGAAAAAGTAAACTCCTGCATGATATTCCAAGCACATGTAGCAGCTTCGGCATCTGAAGTATCTATTGTGAAAGAGAAGTTGGTTTTCTTTGCAGCTGTTTTGTCCTTGTTTCCTTTTAATAGGCCAAATAAATGTAACGAACACCAAATGTTGCACAGAAAAGTTATTAATGACTGTGTAGAAGAAATACCAAATTTTATTTTTCTTTGCAGAAACTTTATGGTTACAGAGAGTCCTCTAGCTGTTATTCTTCCTTAAACGACAAAGCTGAACGTTTGTAAAGTGTGTTGAAAATGGTCATTTTTAAAAAGTGGAGCTACCCAAAGTTTTCTGTTCCTCATGTTGCATCCAGAACAAGCCATTGGCAGAGGCGAGCTGCAGAAGCTCAAATACCTGCTGGGGTTTTGATTTCGAGGCTCAGCAGCCCGGACGGTTAGGAAGTTGTGTTCCATAAGGACAGCAAGGCTCAGTTGCCTTTTCACCCTGTGGCACTAACATCTGCCGGGGCCTGCTCGTTAAGATGTTTCAGGTTTTTTTCCTGTCATTTAAATTAAGATCACCCGGAAAAACAAAAAAAAAAAAAAAAACCAAACGATTTGGTTTGGTTCCTCAGCCCCAGCAGCCCTGCGGCTCACCCCGCCTTCCCTGGCCCCGGGGGGTGCCCCGGAGGGACAGGTACCTCCCCCCCCCCCAGAGAGCGCCTGCTAAACTGAAAAAAAGGCTTTCGATGCCCTTGTGACCTGCTAAAACTTTAGCAAAAGTTTCAATTTGACATACTCTGATATTTTTTTTTTTTCTTAAATTTTGAAGCTGGGGGTGACGCCCCAGGAGCATTTAGCCAAAGGAGGCATCGCCTTATTTAGTCTGCACCTATTCAATCCTTAGTGATAGCCAGAATGGAGTGAATAGCCCCAAAAACCAGAAGTACTTTTTTCTCAACAAATTCGGCAGTTCCTAAATTTTTTTTTTTTTTTTTTTTTCTGATGTAACATGAACACCAAGCCCTTTTGGTAGCCAAATGACCAGCTTATTTTAAATGCCTCATATTAATAGAAAGCTGCATATAGGCATCTCATAGTGAGGAAAAAAAAAAAAAAAAGGAAAAAAAAAAAGAGAATATTTAGTTCCTTTGTGAACTGGCCATATGACAACTACTTTTTTATCAACTTATTAAGTTGGGGCACTATAATAGCTCTTGCTGAGTTTAGCAATGTTTATAAGCATGTGTTAAACACATAATGTTTTATGAGGAAAAAGGGATAAAGAAAAGTAATGTCACAGATGAATGTTTGAGTGCGTAGACGGCATAATGTATGTATGATTTTTATTTCTACACTGTTGAGCTTATTTTCTGGTTTAAGGTTAAAAAAAAAAAGAGATTTGTTGCATGAGAAACTGTTTTATTGTGTTCTGCACTTTCTGTTCCTTTTGTATAACCTTGATTTTTTTTTCATTTATGCATAGAAAAGAAAAATCAATTTAGAAATCTTCTACTCCACCAGGCGTTGTGTTCCGATCCGTTGTTCTGAAGTTCGATCTTAATAAACATTTCCGTAAGAGTTGGTGGCTGGCGTTCCTGTGGTGTTTGCAGGGCACGGGAGCAGAGGCAGCCGTCGTTCCTGACGCCCTGCTGCAGGCTGGACACCCAGAGCTGTACAAGACGAGTAACATTTACCTGCTTCCTCCAGCTTAATTAACATTTCTAAAAGTGCGACACTGGCATGGGATCCTCCGCACAGGAGAGCCTGAGAGCATTTCAGGAGGAAATAGGGTCGGGCTTTCTTTTGAAACCAACCAGAAGCAGTTTCAAAGAAAGCAGTTCGTGGCCAAAGTGATTAACCACTTGGGCCGTTGTGAGTGACGAGAGGGGAAAGCTGGAGGGACCCTCTGTATCCGCTTACAAACGCCAGCCGGCAGGGTGAAACTCGCAGTGTGAAGAACTCGGGTTGTCCTGCTTTCATTCCCGGCAGTTCACTCGACAGATTTGATCTGTGACTTCTCCTGAAGGTAATTCTTCCACATCGGTACCAGCAGCTCAGAGAAGTTGATGCCCCTTAGTGTTTGGTTAATTTTTGACTAAACACAGCTCCGCTGCACTCTTTTCTTACTGGCCCTGAGGTTAGGGAAGTGAAAACCTAAAACTCAATCAATGGGATTTTCAGCCTGGGCTATGAACTTGCTTTTTCACCAGCAAGAACAGGAAGGCGTGGGTCCTGCCTTGCTGGGGAAGGAGCCACTTCAAATACCCGTAGAAGACCCCGAGGAGGGCTGTGCTGGAGTTAATTTTCTTCGTAGTGGCTAGTATGGGGCTAGTGTGAAGCCTGGGGGAGAGAGCAAGTGCGTGTGGTGAGTAGTTGCCAGCTGGGGTTAATCAAACCATGAGGAGGGCCAGCGCCTCCCCTCCTCCCCCGACTTGGCTTGGCAGAGCCCTGGGTGCTCATCCTCAGCCCCGGGGGGGGGCGGGGGCTCCAACCATCTGGCAGAGCCCGAAGTGAAGTGGGGCTTAAGGGGCAGGGAGCGTCCCCTCATCCCTGTCCTCTCCAGGGAGCTTAAAAGTGAAGAGGCCAAAGGGATGGGAAAGCAGCAAAGAAACCTGACCCACCCTGGGCTGGGTCTTGCAAGGCGTGAGGCCCCCGGGGCCGTGGAGTGCTGTAACACCCTGTGCCAAGAGAGGGGGAGGATGGGGCAGCCCTCGTCCCCCTTCCTAGTGCTGCGGCTTGATGGGGCCTGGGGAGAGCAGCAGGAAGCAGAAACCTCTCCGGTGCTGCTGTTCCTGAAGGGCGATTCCCCAGCGAGGGAGAGGTGAGAAAAGGGCATTGGCCCAGCTCGGGAGATGCGACTCATCCCCTGGCCCTGGGAGCGGGACACTGCGAGCCCCAGCCAAGGGCACCAGCTTGCTCGTGGGGGTGGGAGTGGGGTGGCAGGGCTGGGCTGGCCGGCCCACGCCAGGGAAGGGGTGAGGACAAAGGAGCTCCCCGAGCTATCGTTCGAGTTAAACCGTTGACAAAAAAGCTCAGTGGCCTTGGAGTGGCTGGGAACGCCTTGGAGAGGAGCCTGCCCCAGCGCAGGCAGGACTGAGGATGGAACGAGCAGTTAAACCAGTATCTTCCCCTCAGCCCCGGGGGGGGGGGGGGGTGTCTGTCCCTGCTGTCCCTCAGGCTTTGCAGCAGCCGGGGTGGCATCGCTCCCATCCCGGGGGGGGTGGGGAGAGGTGGCGGCGTGTGGTCCCCACGTCCCTCGCCAGCCCCTGGAAGGGGAGGTGATGGCACCTGCTGCCGAGGGTATTAACGCTGCCATGAGGTATTTGTAGGTATCTTCCAGGCGGTGGCCCCTACCTTCGAGTTGGGGGTCCCACGCAGTGGGAAGCTCTTCACACCCCAAAAAAGGGGCAGGGGGCAGCCGCCCAGCAGAGAACCAGCTCTGCCGGGCCACAGGGCTGGAAGGGGAGTTGCAGCAGGGCAGTGGCCCAAATCCTAGGGGCAAAGGTGGTGGGCAGCTGCTGCTCCAGCTCCCGGCCCCAAACTGGCAGCGTTTGCCTCCTTTTTTTAGGTCGGGGAGGCCACACTGGTGCCAAGTGGCATTTGTGCCGCATCCTCCCTGGCCCAGGGCAGCAGGAAAGGCCACCCACCCGCTGCTGAGAGCGCGGGACCTGCGCCGAGCCACGGGGGCAAAGCAGCACGGAGGGGGGAGCCAGACCCTGGGGAGGGGGGAATCCTGCAGCTTCTACCCCACCTCAGCCTCAGGCCCCAAATGGCAGCTGAGCCCAGGGCAGCAGGGACCCACATCAAGGCCATGAGGTGAACACCAGCCCCCCCCGTGCCCTGCCCTGCCCCGGGGTGAGCTGCGTCCCGGCACAGGCGTGGGGAGAGGGCTGGGAATCAAGAGCACCAGAGGTAAGTCAGTCATGGCAGAGGGGTGAGGGTGGGTTTTTGCTTCCTTCACTCTGACAGGCTGCTAGCAAAAAGCAGGATTCAATCGGTACTGGTGGAAAAAGGGGCCCGGTCCCGCGACTAAACCCACAGCAGCTCAGAAAGGCAGGCTGGAGGGCAGAGGAAGGGGCTGTTCCCTGCCTGAGTGCACGGCCCTGTTGGGGAGATCACAGCCAGCACAAGCTCAGGCTGAGCTGGGTTATTTCCAGAAGCAAACACTGCCATCCCTTGGTTCGAATCATAGAGTGGCTCAAGTTGGAAGGATTGAGGCCAAGTCCCTGCTCCCCGCAGCACTGCCTGCAACTAAACCCTATGACTAAGAGCACAGTCCTGACTCCCTGAACTCTGACAGGCTCGGTGCCGTGACCACGTCCCTGGGGAGCCTGTTCCAGAGACCAACCACCTCCTCAGTGAAGAACCTTTTCCTAGTGTCCCATCTGAACCTCCCCCTGACGCCGCTTCATTCCCTTGCCTCGTGTCCTCTCGTTGGTCACCAGAGAGAGGGGATCAGCACCTCCCCTGCCACTGCCCACCTCCAGGAAGCTGTAGACTGCGAGGAGGTCACCCCTCAGCCTTCTCTTCTCCAAGCTGAACAAGCCAAGTGACCTCAGCCGCTCCTCCTAGTCTTGCCCTTGAGGCCTTTCACCATTTTGGTCGCCCTCTGGACACACACTAATAGTTTGATGTCCCTCTTATACTGAGGCGCCCAGAACTGCACAAGTACTCGAGGTGGGGCCGCACGAATGCGATGCAGAGTGGGACAATCACCTCCCTTGACTGGCTAGCTGTGCTGTGCTCGATGCACCCCGGACACAGTTGGCCCTTTTGCATGCCAGGGCACACTGTTGACTCACATTCAACTTGTCACCCGTGATTTTTTTCCTGTGGGGCTGCTCTCTGTAGTCCTCCTGTGTCACCCGTCCTTGCTTCCAATATTAGTACACTTCCCTTTTCCACCTAAGTTCTAGAAGTTCCCTGCTCAGCCAAGTCAGCCTTCTGCCCCGTTTGCTTGACTTCCAACACTTTGGAACTGCCTGCTGTGCCCTCAACAGATGGCTCTTAATAAGGGACCGAAATTCATGCACCCCCAATACCATCAAAAGCAGATTGGTGGGGGACCTTAATAATTAGCTCCTTCAGCAGCCCCAAGTCTGCTCTCCCCATAGCCAGGGTCACACTTTAGCTCCTACCTACCTCCAATGCTTTGAAACTCAACTGCTTCACGGTCACTGTGACCAAGACAGCCAACATTCACCACTTCGCCCCTGAGTCCCTCTCTCTTTACAAACAACAAATCTAGGAGGGCGCCTTTCCTAGTTGGCTTCCTTAGTACCTGTGCCAAGAAGTTATCACCTTCAACATGCTTCAGAAATTTCCTGGACCTGTTAGTGTCCCCTGTATGACGACTCCCAGTTAACATCTGGGAAGTTAAAATCACCCATAAGGACCAGGGCAGCTGATCTAGCGATATCCCTTAATTCCTTGTAGAATAATTTACTGGTGTCACCGTCCCGGCTGGCTGGGAGGTCTCACATCTGCCTGAGTAGATTCCCACAACAACATCCACTTTTTTTGCTTTCCCCTTTCCCCTTACCCAGTCTCTCAACTGTGCCATCACCAGCTGTAAGCACCGTACAGTCCAACCCCTCCCTTACGTACAGCGGCACCTTCCCCCTGGCCTGCCCTGCCTGGCCCTGCTGAAGAGCCTGCAACCATCCATCACCGCACACCACTCACAGGACTCATCCCACCAGGTTTCGCTCGTGCCAACGTCGTAGCTCTGGGACTGGGCCAAAGCTTCCAGCTCCTTGTGTTTATTCCTCATGCTACGCAAATTTGTTTAAAGGCATTTCAAATGTGCTCCAGTGTACTCAGCACATTGTGGAGCAGAGTGAAGGACCTCGCTAGCACACTGTCCCTCAAACGTTGGCGTGCCACCCCCAGGCTTATCTCTAGTGAGCCTGGTTTTATCCCTTTCCCCCTTCAGATCTAATTTAAAGCTCTTTTGGTGAGCCCTGCTACCTCCTGCACAAAGATCCTTTTCCCCCTTTGAGACAGGTGTACCCCATCTGTTGCCAGCAGGCCTGGTGGTGTGTAGACTGACCCACAATTAAAAAACCCAAAATTCTGCTGGTGACACCAGTCACGGTGCCAGGTATTGATCTGCTGGGTCTTCCTGTTTCTCCCCTCATTGTTCCCTGCAACTGGAAGGACAGAGAACACTGCTTGTGCTCCTGGGCCCTTAATCAGTCATCCCAAGGCCCTGAAGTCTCTCCTGACTGCCCTTGGACTTCTTATTGCAACTTCATCACTGCCTACATACAAAAGCAATCACAGATAGTAATCTGAGGGCCGTACCAGGGTAGGATGTTTTCTTGTCACATCTTTAACCAGGGTTCCAAGGAGGCAGCAGAGTTCTTTAAGAAGTGGGTCCAGTCGGCATATTGGGACTTCTGTTTCCCGCTGAAGAGAGACTCCCATGGCAGCGACCCGTCTTTCTTTCTGTGTGGAAGTTGTTTGGGCATAGGCTGCCTTAACCATGGTGACACCTCCAATCTAGACAAACCATCATCCTGGTCACTGTGCAGTTCCTGCAGGAAGTGAAATTTCATTAGCAGTGCGTGCCTCTG